CTATTAAAAATAGGAGGAAAAGTTGACAATAGGGCTTAGAAAAGTCTGTACGTCATCAGAAACATAGAACAATACTGAATAGGTGAATTGGTATTGTTCACACTACCAGCCTTCTGCAGATGGCGTTCTGGACACCATTAGGGGTTTGAGTCAACGGGTTTTGGTCTTGCGTCAATGGCATCAGTTTGACATCAATTTGAAATGCTTATGACATTATTCAGAATTCATTGACGGGTGTTTTTAACCTGCACGTTATCTCTTTCTGACCTGCATTTGAGCTACAGTTGACCTCCTTCTGACTTGCACTTGACCTGCTTCAAGTGAGTTTTGCATTTTCTAGACATATATGGAGAGGAAAAGCTTGTTTGAAGGCCATTTCACACCATTCAAAACTGAAGCACACAAAATCTAAAGCAGCTTTGCACAGCAACCAATCAGCTTCTCTTTCATTTTCAAATCTTAACTAACAAACTGAAGAAAACAAATGCTGATTGGTTGCCCTGGGCAACTGATCCAGATTGTGTCTGCTCCAGTTTTGATAAAAATCACCTCCCTGTACCTTGTGTTTAGCTCATGCTACTGCACAGCACACCTAGTATGTTGTACTATGCACTAGGTGCGGTGGATTGCCATCCATTTGAACACCACTGCAACGCATCTCGCGGTGGCCACAATATCGTTGTAGGTTGTGTTGCACTGTGATGAACAAAAGTAGTGTATGTACTTTTTAACTGCAATGCAATACATTGCATTGGGGTGTCATTTGAATGAATGGCAACACAATGCACCTAGCACATGAGACCATGGGAAACAAAAGTAGTCACCCTCCAGAAGGAAGGACAGTGTCAGCACCAGTTCAGAGATGATTTGAGGATCTACAGCCGAGTGACACACAAATAATATACATTGTTGTTAATAGTTAAGGTACTTGAATGTATTTTTAAGTTTTAACTCCTGAGTTTAGTGTCACTTTAAGTAACTCTAGAAAAAAAATTATATAACAGAATTAATTCCTACACAAACATATTTTAACAATTCGTATTACATTTGTATAACTTTATTTAATGTGCAGTGAATTATTTCTATAAAAAACTTTTACAAAGTTGCAATTCTTCTTTTACTTTCTATACTTAATATAGAAATATTTTTGGTGCTTAACCAAATATAAAATAAAATGTCAGAATATGTAAAAGTGTATACAAGTCAGTATATCAGCTGAGTTATTAAGCAATTGTTTTCTGCTGTGGTCTTTTAAAATGTATACTTGGAATTGATTTGATGTGAACAATATGTGAATATTCTACAGATATAAAAACAAAGTATTGTAATATTGTTTTTAGTAAAATATTTTACTACAAAATAATAGTACAGCATATAAAATGTATTTCAAGTGCCGGTACGTTGTCCTTGTATTTAGAGATTGTAGAAACGGTGATGCATTTGGACTGTAGAAATGGTTTTGAAAGCTCTTTAATAGGATATTGTTTTTTTTCACTTTTCTGGTCTGGGTTCCCAGAAACAAGTCATTTCAGAGAAATAAGATAACCTTTATTAACTAAAGGGAGGTCAATGACTGAACGTTTTTGGATGTTAACAATGCATCTCAATCCTTATTAATCAATATAAGCTGCTCTGACTCATGGGTACGTGTTGATTTTTCACATTACCTTCTTCCCCATTTTGTATTATCTAGTATACCATTTGTAGCTGTTAACAAGGTCCTTTTTAACTTAAAAAAAAATAAAATAAAATCTACCACAAAGAACGAACAACCTGATTTCTTTTCAAAATTCAATTTTATTCCACAGGTTTAGCCACAAAAAAAATTAAATATATTTTCATTGTCTTAGGAAAAGTATATGTACAAATCATATAAACAAACCTGAGGTATACAATCACAGAACATGTACAAAACATATATAAATTACATATATACAATATAAAAACAGTAAACTTTATGGTAAAATATATTTGGTATTCAGGTCAACTTACATTCAAAACAGTATTTTGTTGCGATTTGGGCATGAATAAACATATATATACAAACATATACATACACCAGTGCATAGAAAATAATGCACTACTGGTCACAGATTCCATAAAGAAGGCTATATGGTAAAGGCAATATCCCCACAGCAAGCAATCAGAATTCCTTGTCTTCTGGTCCGACGTCAGCAAAGTGATATTCTAATTGGTTGATATAGTTTACTATAATTAAGAATTGATATTTAGGACACATCACTGGGTGATATAGGTTCCTATAATTAAGATATGATGTTTAGGACACATCACTGGTTGATATAGGTTCCTATAATTAACAATTGATGTTTAGGACACATCACTGGTTGATATAGATTCCTATAATTAAGAATTGATATTTAGGACACATCACTGGTTGATATAGGTTCCTATAATTAACAATTGATGTTTAGGACACATCACTGGTTGATATAGATTCCTATAATTAAGAATTGATATTTAGGACACATCACTGGTTGATATAGGTTCCTATAATTAAGAATTGATGTTTAGGACACATCACTGATTGATACAGGTTCCTATAATTAAGATTTCATATTTAGGAAACATCACTGGTTGATACAGGTTCCTATAATTAAGATTTCATATTTAGGAAAAACTACTGGTTGATATAGGTTCCTATAATTAAGAATTGATGTTTAGGAAACACCACTGGTTGATATAGGTTCCTATAAATAAGATATAATATTTAGGACACATCACTGGTTGATATGGGTTACTATAATTAAGAATTGATATTTAGGACACATCACTGTTTATTGTCAGAAGAATGCTTTTACAATAGTAGACAGCGTTGGTTTCCAGATTTTGATGGCTTTTTACCAAAGATGTCAATTATCAGATCTCCATATGTGTCCCGTTCTCAAGTGTTGAGTTTAAAGGACTTTTCCACTTCTAACCAAATGTGTGCAGTATACACATTTCCACATGGTAACATTAAGACCCTCCACCCCATCCACTGCTTAAATAGTGCATAAGGAAATGTAGTTACTTCAATTCCCCTGTGCATGATTAGGCGTTTGAAGGCACACTCCACATTGAACATACAATCCTGTGAAGAAGTTCAATTTTTTAAAATTGCCATGCACATGGCTGGATATATAAAAATTCACATAGGTGCACCCACTTCACCTAGCTTCACCCTTAAAGTATATCTAAAGCCAAAACTTGTTTTAAGATTTGAAAGGAATGCAGAGGGATCAGAACACCTGTCAGGTTTGTATTGCTGTCTGTGTCCCCTTTAGATTCACCCTCTGTATTTGTCCAGGTGGCTGTTATCACTGACAGTGAAAGTAATGGAGAATATTTTGGGTTGTCAACAGAACAGGAACAGATGGGAAGTCTTCCAATGGGACACTAGTTCTAGTGTCCCTGTTGACCACAGAGGATTCATTTCCTTGCCCTTCCTGTTGTGACTATCGGACAGGAGATTAAGGGAAATCTCCCTAATGGGACACAGATGGCATAAAAGATGACATGGGTTGTAACCCTCCCCTGTTCTATCCAAAACTAAAAAAAGGTTTTGGTTTCAGTTCTACTTAGGTAGGTTGGGTTCATCACTTTACTAGTATAAAAATTGCTTCTCTAAATCAGCCCCATAGCTCTACCAAAAGTATGAGATAAGGAACATCCCATCTGCACAATACCCAAATTAGGAATGCCTACCCTATAAAAAAATGCATATAAAAATATGCAAACATTTACATTATAAATGGTAGACAATAGAATAATTGTGTGTAATTCATAACTATTAAACTCTTTGAGCTCACACAGTAAGGCCATATAACTTTATGGTGCCATGTATAACACAGACTGACAATGACAGTCAGAAATGGTGAAAGGAAAATAGAGAGGGGGAAGCAGGAATTTTTTATATTGAAGTGGAGCCCTTGAGAAGGATGGTATCTTGATAAGTTTACCCTCAACTACACTGGACTAAGGACTTGTCCACACAGGACAGTGTAGCCAAAATATACGGTCAAGAATATGTGACCTGCAAGTCATCTCAAGTCATCTTAAATGAAGTAACTAAAAAATTGCAATGCAACACATCCAAAAGGCATTTTGGTGCATTGCAGTTTAGCATTAATGCATAAACGGTTGTGTGAACGTAGCCAATATATAAATATGAGTGCCATGCTATTTTGTAATAAATATGTGTCTGTGCAATAAATTATTGTTAGAAAACAATTGATAATCTCATAATTTCTATCAAAATGTATTGCAAAGACATCATTACAGAACAGTGCGGCACACAAATTTATATCTGTGAGATTTATTAATGGCATTCATTTGGGTGCTGGCATATTTTATTTGGGAGTTCATCTTTTTGCTTGAGCACAGAATAATTTTGGTGACCAAGCTGAAGGCACAGTAGCATCTCACATAAAACACCAACACTTGTTGTTCCATGTTAACTGTGGTTACTTGTTCTGCTTTGGAAAAGAATCATTTAGCTTTAAGTTTTTCAGCTGCTGAGAAGTCAAACCCACAGATTTGTTTTTCTATTCCAGAAAAATATAATTTGTGAAAAACAATACTCAGTATGAATAAAGCATTATTTAGTAAAAAGAATCTGTGTATCAAACACAGCAAGTATCAGTTCATATATATGCTAAGCGCTGATGGGCTAACCTGGTGTTAGCCATGATAAACTTAACATGCTTCTCTATTGCATGGTGCAATATGTTATATACATCAGCCACAGCCTACATTCACCAAATGATAGAAGTCTGTTAAAGCTAATTTAAAACTTTGGAAAATTTTATGAAATCCAGTGGAAAATCTTCAAGTCTACTTTTATCAAAACGAATAGGCACTTGTATATTAATAACACATGCCCTGTATAACAATTAACCCCATAGTTCAGGAACAGGTAACCTCGGCCCACCAGCTGAAACTACCAGTCCCATGAGGCATTTTAAGACTCTGACAGCCACCAGAGGCAGAGGCATTATGGGATTTGTAGGTTTACCACAGCTGGAGTGCCGAGGTTTCCAACCCCTGCCTTAGTTTAAGGTCCATTATGACATAGACATTTGACCATTACCTGAAAAACCAATATTTACATTGCAGCTAAGGCACTGTACATCAAACTCTACCCTTGTCCTTACCCCATGGAAAAATTAGGGGGTGAAGAATCCAGCTTCTGTTAAAGTGCAAGCTGAGTTTAAAGGTCCTTGGTGAGATAAGTATCAGTGGGTACACTTGTAATAGCCTTTGTCACCTTCGATGTCGACTTCTTCATCAGAATCCTCTGATATATCCGTGTCCAGGTTCTCCTGGGAATTAGGGGAGGGAGAGCACATGGAACCATCTAAAGATGAGTCCTTATTCTTCTGCTCAGCATTTAAACAGTTCTCTTTACCCTCCTCACAGTCATTTTCTAGACTTTCGGTTTCTTCTTTCTTATTTCCCTGGGGGTTCTCCTAAAATAGAAATGTCAGTTAGCATTTTAATGAACTGCGGCCTCTGTAGCCTGAAACTCTACTTTGTGTGTTATGATAGTAAGTTTCAAAATGAGCAGTACATTGTTTTCACACTGGGCCTTATTCATTATCATAAGGGTGTAGCTTATTTACAACTGTCATGGTTGATTGCACTGTTATTTGAAACCCTTATAATGTTTGATGCTTACAAGCATTCCTCAGTCTGTGTCCTATAACATTCTAAACGCAAGTTCTTTTTTACATTGTACTAAATTGCTAGCACAGTGGTGGAAACATTCTCAGAAGCTGGTCAGTCCTATTCTTAAGCCAAACAGAATCCTCAGTAGGCATTTGCAATAGAGGTGAAGAAAGGCCGGTAAAGAACATTAGGCATCTGGTTTAATTGCTTTAGGGCTCCTAGCTATTTGATTTCTTAGAGTGTATCTAGCACTGTGCTAACACAACAAAAATATTGCAAGCTCCTCAAAAGTCATATCAACAGCCAATATGAGCAGGAACAGTATGACATCCGTGAAACATGCAACATGCATTTTCATGCTGCTCTGAAAAAAGTGGACCATGGCAGTTCCTACAGTCCTATCATGACATGTTTGCTTTAAGTATAGAAAGGCAACTCAGTATCCCAATGATGACAAGACATTAAAGCAGCCATTTCGAACCAGGGCTCCGTAGCGCCTTAGTGTTCCTTTAATGGTTCCTTGAGCTGTGTTTGAATGACCTCTCATTTGATGGTGCCTGCATAAGTCCTGGCCAAATGACACTTGGCAAAGCTAGCAGCATGACACCAATTATCTTTTTAGATATCTGGAAGGGTGGCATTCTGTCCACCACTGTAAGTGTTGCATTCTTCCTGCTGACCCTGATGATTTAGTATCAGTTCCCTGTGATCTGAATTTTATTTTATGTGCTGCATTAAACTATTCAGAAATGAATCAGACAGGCACAGAATTCATGCAGCCAAAAGGCACCTTCCATTAGTAAAGATGCACTTCTATTCAACCCTGTTTTTTGATCGGTTTTCCTTGCAGATAATTGGACATTCTTGGCAAAGTGAATTTGTAGCTTCACCTCATGCACTAAGTTAACTGGAATTTCATCTTGCTAATTGAACATGCTCTACTCCTTTAGTAAATGAACTACATAGTGTATACTAAAGGGTTTCCTTAACCCTCTCATCCAATTTTCCATTCTGGTTACTGATGTTTAAATCTACACTAGGTTTATCATGTTTAATGACAAGGAGCAAAAAACATGACTCTGTATGACATTTGAAGGAGTCTTTGTTCAGATGTTGCACAAAGGACCTGTGGATTTTTGTAATGCAAAGGAAACTAAACAGCCTAAGCACAGTGTAAGTGTAAAATGTAAAACAGTTCAACTTGGGGCATCCTCACCCCTTAGCAAATGGGCAATGGCTGCATACTTCTCACTCCCACCCCACTGGGCACTAAGGGCATGGAGATGTAAGGTCTGTGTAGGCTAAGGAAAGCAGAGTCACAGTCTATTTGTAGAGAGCAGGATGAGTAAACCACCATTTATGATATTTATGACCATTTGTCATAGCCCACAAACAGAAACCTTCTGTTTGTGGGCTATGACAGACAAATATCATTCATTGATAGCTTGTAGGCACATTCATTCTTCAAATATAGGTAATCAAGAACAGTATGATTAGGGTGTTAGGGTCTTAGAGCTACACACAAATGTGTAAGCATTATATAGCTACAGGAAATAGAATTTGGTTTATGCCAGTTTGTAGCTGAAAACATCTACATCTACATAACTTTTTTATTGCAGCTACAAGGTTTCACCAGACTCTAGCAAACCTCAAAAAAGTCTATTTTTTAAGTGTAAAATGCAGTTTTGTAACCTCATGTAGAAACTTTAGAAAACAATATAACCACATAACCATAATGACTAAATCCTCACGACAGACAACTCTGAAAAATATTAATTCCGGAATTTGTTCAGTTTAGCAAAATCTAATTAATAGATACTTAGTAACAAAACTAATGGTTATTTTTAATTCTAGTAATGTAAATATGCCCAACAAAGTGTACCCTGTGAGGCTATGCAACATTTAAGACTGCTTAAGGAAATACTTTGGCTTGCAAGGCATGAAGCTACAAACGCGCAACCTTTAATTTAAGATCATGAATGAGAGTTAAGGAACAAAAGTTAAATGTGTTATTTATGTGGCCAATGATTTAGGATCACATTGATCATATAAAGTAAAATGAGAGATTCTAAGGGTCTCTTGGCTTCCTATATCACCATAGTGGTTGGTCAGCAGCTAGACTTGTAGTCACAAACTGACAACCTTCAGATATCTTTGCTAGCCAGCTCACCCCTAAACCTTGTTAAGGGGGGAAAGTGAGACCATGCTGTAGACATCTTTTTAAACAATAACCTGACCAGTTTTCCCTCAGATACACCCTGGCTGATGGCATCTGCTGGTGATTAACAAACTTCAAATTGTTGCCTGATGCAAATGAAAATAATCAGATTTGATGACCATCTTGCTGGCCCTTTGTCCCAGTGAGATAACTGTAGACATAGGGGCTATCATTGTCAAAAGTGATTAACAAACATTTAATGTCTATGACTTACATTAGGACAAGATTGACTGGCTATTATTGGCAATGCTTCCAGTGCCACAAGTCCACTGCCCATCACTGGTCGGCTGAGATATTAAAGTATACAATTCAAGACAAGAAGGTGGACTGGGAAGTAACTTCACAGAGACCAGAAACAGGAAAGCCATAATTAATCTTTTTAAATCAACCTGTGTGAATTCTGAATATTAGATGGGGGCATATGTGGCACTAGGGATGCACCAATACTTTTCAGATACCAGTGCCGATACTTGGCATTTTCATGAGAACTACCAGTGTTGCTGCGGTTGCAGCTGGGACCTAGCTCTGGCGCTCCACCACTGTCCTGAAATCATTAGTGCATTTGTAAGGAGCTCCGTGTGCTCCTTACAAATGACAGCTGCCTCCTAACTTTTTAATTTTTCTCTAGTCTAGTCTTGGAGCTCGAAAAGTATCTGTACTTGTACTTGTACCGAGTACGCTACTTGGTATCGGTGCATCCCTATGTGGCACCTCAGAACATCAGGGAGCTTAGATCTGGTGAATGAAGCTGAGCCTATGATCAGGACATGACTTAATTAAATAAAGGTTTTAAGGACATTCTTGGGTGAATATGTAATAGTTACAAAGATTAACAAAACTGGTGGCACTATAGTAATGGGTGGGTACTTCAAAGCTGGCGTCCTGTATCACAACCCCACAGAAGGAAAGTACCAAATGTCACATTTGACTTTCCTGGCAATTCATAGAGAGGGTTATTTATTCAAGTCAAGCACAATGCTTTGCAGCCCTAGCTCCTAGGTTTCAATTTCACCTAGAACATTATCTGCATGGATTTTCTATGGGTTTTCTCACACGATCCAAAAACATAGTGCTATGCAGGGGTGTTACTAGACCCTGTCACCCAGGGCACATGCCCCAGGCTTTCTACTCAGTGGCCTGGGTCTTTTTTGAGATATGAAGATGATACATTTTATGCAAAATCCATGGCCTTTAGACTTTAATACACAAAACGTCATAGTATTCTACAGCCCCTCAACATCTTAATATGTGTGCCCAGAGGTACCCTCGGCCTATTAGGAACTTGGAAGCACCCCTGCTGCTATGTTGATTGACCTTTTTTCCAAAATTGCCCCTAGAGAGTGTGGTAGACCATCAGACTGTCCTGTCCCAGTGTGGGGTACAGACTGAAGTGGATGCATCTATGTTATCTGGTGTATTCAGGTGCTGAATTATATGTTGTTACTATATAAATACTGGAAATAACAAATGAAAGGACTAATTTGATTAGTCATGTAGCAATACAGACAGTTCTTAGTACAGATGATGATACATGCAGCTGACAAAAGCAATAGGATGCCCATCAAACTATCTCAATTTTATTTCAGTTGTGGGAACTTTTTACATATATTAAATGGTTGTGATTGTTTCAAATGCACATAAATGGGACACAGTGGTCCCAGTAAGCCTGCAGTTATAGACAAGAAGCCTTGGACAGCAAAAGGCTGTCAGGTCATGCTGGTACTTGTAGTTCTAGAATCAATTAGGATGCAGTAGAGTACGCAGCTTTGGTCTAGACTATCAATAGACATACACAACATCTGAGTGTCAATTTGTTAAGTCTAGCACCCACTTAGCTACAAAGGTGTGAAAAGTACAAGCTTGACCTGCTGGTCTGCGTGCCGCTTGTGAAAACACAGGCTTGATGCAGCAGGTCATTAACAGGATTACTTTAGGTGCAGCCTAATAAGATGAGCAGCATATGGCTTGACACAACAATTAGTGGCTGCTTTAATAGCCGCTATGGGAGAATAGTAGCCTGAGCCATCTATCTGCTCCTGTTTAGAAGCTTTTAGCATTATTTCTGCCTGAGCAGGTCTCCGATTCACTTACAGCACTGTTTGCTTTTCTAATCAAGTTGAAGAGTTTACATAGCCACCCAAATGACTTGGGCATACAACTGGGAATGGCTGATCACATTAAATGATAAGTCGATTGCAACCACCATAGAAACCAATGTATTTGCTTTACCTGTTTGAGCCGCCTCCATTTGGCTCTGCGGTTCTGGAACCAGGTCTTCACCTGCAGAGGATGGATAGGAGATTGTTATCAGCACAGAAATGGAGCAATATGAATTTTAATTATATGTATTCACGGTTCAGAACACAAAGCAACTAAGACAGCGGGGGTGATTTACTAAAGGAGACTGTTCACGTAGCTTACCGAATTATGATGCTGGGTTCACTAAGCATGTGCAAAGGAAGTTCAAAAACAAAAAAAATTGGATTTGCCTTGAACATGATTGGATGATTGAAATGAACACAGCTTCGTCCTATTCACAAAGGTTAATGAATATTCACTTTGCAAAGTGAACAGACTTAGCTCCTTTATTAAATCAACCCCACAGAGCGAATCAACAATGCAAAGTGTAAATAGCACAACAATTGTGTAGCACAACAATGAGGTGGATTTACTAAAGAAACAACAACTGTTCACTTTGTAAAGTGTATTTTCATATTGGAAAGGGAATGTTCACTTAGCTTAGTGAATACAGTGAAGAACCATCCAATCACATGCAAGCAACAATCCTGTGTTTCCAATTTCCCTCACAAATGACTGGACATTCAACGTGAACCCGTCTTTTTTCCTAAACAAAGCGAATATATACTTTGCAAAGTATACAGTCACTTTGCTACTTGAACAGCCTCTACTGTTTTAGTAAACCAACCCCAATGAACTGATTTTAGAGTAGTGATAAGATGAGAAGGGGAAATGTGCAAATAGCATCCTAATTGCCTAATCATGAATTAGAACTCTTGAACTATCATGTATTAGTACTGCTAATAAACAATACAATGACACAGCTATTAAAAATGTAAACATCAAATTATACAGGTGAAACTCGAATAATTAGAATATCGTGCAAAGTTCATTTATTTCACTAATGCAACTTAAAAAGTGAAACTAATATATGAGATAGACTCATTACATGCAAAGCAAGATAATTCAAGCCATGATTTGTCATAATTGTGATGATTATGGCTTACAGCTCATGAAAACCCCAAGAACCCCAAATCCACAACCTCAAAAAAGTAGATTATTACATGCAATCAATAAAACAAGGGTTGTACATAGAACAATATCGGACCTCTGAAAAGTACAAGCATGCATATGTACTCAGTACTTGGTTTGGGCCCCTTTTGCAGCACTTACTGCAATTACTTTTGCACAATATTCTAATTATTCGAGTTTCACCTGTATTATTATTTTAGAAAGTCTAACTGAGGATAGAGGTGGTGTATTTAATATGACCCTGAGCTAGAGAGAGTCCAGAAAAGGGCAACAAAACGAATTAAAGGGCTGGAGGACCAGAGCTATGAGACAAGGTTTCTAAATATAAACTTGTTCACGCTAGAAGTGAGGTGATTAGGAGGGGACATGATTTTGATGTACAAAATGTTTAGTGGTGATGGCAACATCAGCAAAAAAACTTTTTACTGTAAACTCCAACCAAGAATAGAGACCACCACCTTAAACTGGTGGAGAAAATATTTAACCACACAGGGCGTAGGTGCTTTTTTCAGTTCGAGCGGTTAAATTTTGGAACTCTCTGCCACAAGCAGTGGTATCAGCAGAGAGTATTGGATCATTTAAAAACCAATAAGATACCTTCCTCAGAGACCGTAACATACAGAGGTACAGGTACTCTTAAAAATCTAGGACCATACAGGGACTCACATACACACACACACACGCACAAAGGTTGAACTTGATGGACCTGTGTCTTTATTCAACCTCAGATACTATGTAACTATGTAATATGTATATAGATAGATAGATAGATACAAAACGAATTAAAGGGCTGGAGGACCAGAGCTATGAGACAAGGTTTCTAAATATAAACTTGTTCACGCTAGAAGTGAGGTGATTAGGAGGGGACATGATTTTGATGTACAAAATGTTTAGTGGTGATGGCAACATCAGCAAAAAAACTTTTTACTGTAAACTCCAACCAAGAATAGAGACCACCACCTTAAACTGGTGGAGAAAATATTTAACCACACAGGGCGTAGGTGCTTTTTTCAGTTCGAGCGGTTAAATTTTGGAACTCTCTGCCACAAGCAGTGGTATCAGCAGAGAGTATTGGATCATTTAAAAACCAATAAGATACCTTCCTCAGAGACCGTAACATACAGAGGTACAGGTACTCTTAAAAATCTAGGACCATACAGGGACTCACATACACACACACACACGCACAAAGGTTGAACTTGATGGACCTGTGTCTTTATTCAACCTCAGATACTATGTAACTATGTAATATGTATATAGATAGATAGATAGATAGATAGATAGATAGATAGATAGATAGATAGATATAATGTTTGAATTATTACTGCTAAAAGTGAAAATAATACCAGTAATTACAAAACAACAATGGCAGGCAGTGGAAGTACTTGGAGAATCAATTCATAAAATAGTTTTATCATTTTCTTTCTTTCTTCCCTGAGAACAAAAGCCAAAGACACCGTAGTAGAAGGATGGCTATTAGTATGGTTGTTGTCTGCAATTCCAATTTTAGGGGGGGTTTTTGCCAACTGTATAACAATGCAAACAATACTCTTTTTTTATACATTTTTTTTTTTTTAGTCTTTGATAGAGAATGCAAAAGTTAAAACCCCTGTCAGTCTGTCAGTTTATTTTTCCTGGCTGCGGCTCATCGGGAAGAAGTACCGCCACTTCCTGTCCCATGAATACAACAGGACGTGAAATGAATTCTCAAGGAAAGAAGGGGACTTCCCCTCCCAGACAATTGTCACAGGTGTAGGTGTCCCCATTAGAAGATTTCCTCTTACTTCTTGTTCCGGTGACAACTGTAAAATAGATTTGCCATCACTCAATGACATTGGTCACCAGGGCACGTAGAAAGGGTGAAACTACCTGGCAGGAAAACAGACAGCAATAAAAACTTAGCAGGGGTCCTCCTACTTTTACAACTACCAATTTATCCAAAACTGAATAAGGGTTGGGTCAATATATAAATGGTCAAGTAAGCTGCAAAACCTCTGATTCCATGCATGTATTATTTCTACAGCATCTACATTAATATGAACATCTTGGGGCAGAAGGGTGGAGGGTATAGCAGCTGCGATGGAGCAATGACATTCTCATATTGGATTTCAGAGAATGGTGATGGGTCTTCAGCCTTTGGTTTCCTCTTTACCTGTCTCTCGCTGAGCTGCAGCATCTTGGCCAGCCTCTTCCTCTCTGGTGGGGACAAGTATTTCTGAGATTCAAACTTTTTCTCCAGTTCGATGGTTTGGTCGTTAGAAAACCTGACCTGGCCACCTTTTCTCTTGTGCAGGGGTCTCTGGATGAAGGGACTCCACAGAAGAGGTTTACCTGCAAAAAGTATAATACAACATCAGACACCTTATCTACATATCATTGCAGGGTAGCAAGTCCAGGTCAGTTCCTAGGCCCTTGTCTTGTACATAAAGAAGTCAAGAAGGTAAATTTACAGGCAGTAAAAACAAGTCAACCTTTCAACTAAGCTCAGCTAAGATCACTGATAGCGATACGTTTTTGTAACATTCATACTCAGTCGTTTCATGTCAATCAACTTGAGAGCCTTTAGAGCTGGTAACATTTTAGTTTTAAAGGGTTTTTTTCTTTGCCGTCAGACTTGGGCAATGCAAAGTTTGTAGTACAAAAAACACCATTTACAGCACACCTAGGCGACACCTCACCGCGCGGCAATCGTGCAGGTTTCCGCATGGATTGCCGCGCGGTCACGGAGTCACCCAGCAGAAATGGTTGCGCTGTGGGTGCCAATATTTTCTAATGGCACCCCAGTGCATCCGAACACAGCTAAAACAGCCGTGCGTCGTGTATCACAAAAAAAAGTACATGTACCCTTTTTCTGCGATTGCCGCGCGGCCCCATTGATTTTAATCGGGTGACATCTGCGCGGCAATCGCTGTCTGCATTGTGCAGGACCGTGCGATCCCAGATCGCTTAGGTCTGCACCGGGCCTTAAAATAAAAGATTTATGTTGAATATAATATTTTATACATTATATATAGAACAAGGAATTGATTATGTATGCATTAAAAGGCAATAAAAGGAACACATTAGATAAATACACACAAAATAACTTTTGTAGCAAATCTGTGGTTTAATATTGTGGTAGACCAGGGTTGGGCAACCTCTGCACTATAGTTGTTGTGGAACTGCAAATGTCATGAGGCATTGCAAGACTCTGACAGCCACAGGCATGACTACCAGAGGAAGACCATGATGGGATTTTCCCCATAGCTGGGGTTGCCTACCCCTGGGGTAGACAAAGCACTTAAGGACATAGCAGTCACGTTCAGCTGTGGACTGATTTTAATTTATAGGGAAATGGGGATACTCATAGAAGATAATCTATGTCACACCAATATGCATATGTGGCTTGCACATTCCTCCAGCAAAGCAGCCCCTTATTTAAAAAAAACAAAAAAAAAACTGCATTATATAAAAAACCCTTCAGAAGTATAGAAGGAATATTCCCTCTTTCTGGTTATTTCAGGTGGACACACAGACTAACATCTATACACATCTTGTAATAGATACAAGGTTCGTACACTCACATGGAAACTGAAATCTTTGATATTGATGTGACATTGCTGTGCAGTTTATTCTTCTTTCTTTGTTTTTATTGCCAGAAAAAAAAAGAGACAACCAAACAGCAATAAGTAATTTTCTTCTATGGGATGTCTGGGCAGAAAGTTAGCTATCAGTCTCCACAATATCACTTATTTAAAAATAACTTGATTTTCTAATTATTCTTTATTTTTAAATACAGAAAAATAGGATAAACAATACAGTCTACAGGGGTCCATCTCACTCTGCACCCATAAATCAGACTTTCAATAGGACAAGCACAGTCTTCTGGAAGGAAAACTTCCGGGTAACCACCATTAAAGATCATAAATATAAAATAACGTAGTCTGGAAATAGGGATTTCGCTTCTGTTTTAATAATTTACATATCTATAAATCTTGTGCTGATAAAACCTAAGCTACAGAAACCAACTGATGAAAGTTCTATTGTATTTAGAGGCTTGGACAGTCTTAGTAAATCACTCCATAAATGTAATTAAACATTATTTTATTTATAGAAGAACTCTGAGTTGCATTTCATCTCAGATGAACTACATTTCTCAGAGTATCAAATAACCCTTAGCTGTTGCAAAACTAAAATTCCCTGCAGATGTCACTTAGGTGCCTAGTAGGACTTGGAGCCCCTTAGACCTTACAAGGCATGCTGGTACTTGTAGTTCCATCGCCTTGTTTGTCAGATTGTAGCAAAGGATATCCACGCTTCCTGTATGTCCTGCTCTCTATCCGCCTGACATACAGCAAATACAATCCTGCTGGTCCTCCTGTCCACTATTCTACGGTAAGTGTAAGTGTGTTCCAGGCTTGTTGTGAAAGGAATATGCCTGCCTCGAATATGATTTCCCATAAAAAGCCATTAATTGCTAACGGTGACTGCATCCTCCTTATATAAAAAGGAGAAAACATCAACATTTTCTTGAGGCAACCTTGGCAGAAAGTGACCAGTCAGTTTTATTGTGATCTACAAGCACAGAAATGCTAGACTTTTTTAATTGTCAAAATGTAACAGTATAAATGCTTTAGCTATAAAATAATGTCAGAAATATTCCTCAAACAGTAATATAATTCTGTCTATAGGGCCACTTCAATTACAAGATGGTTTGTATAAGACTGTTACCTAAAAATAAGATAATGTCAGAAATATTCCTCAAACATTAAAATAATTCTGTATAGGGTCACTTTGATTGCAAGATGGTTTGTATAAGACTGTTACCTAAAAATAAGATAATGTCAGAAATATTCCTCAAACATTAAAATAATTCTGTATAGAGTCACTTCGATTGCAAGATGATTTTGTATAAGACTGTTACCTAGAAATAAGATAATGTCAGAAATATTCCTCTAAACAGTAATATAATTCTGTCTATAGGACTACTATGATTACACGATGGCTTGTATAAGATTGTTATTTATAAATAAAATAATATCAATTCAAAAATATTCCTCTAAACAGTAATATAATTATTTCTATAGGACCATTACGATTACACAATAGATTGTATAAGACTGTTACCTAGAAATAAGATAATGTCAGAAATATTCCTCTAAACAGTAATATAATTATTTCTATAGGACCATTACGATTACACAATAGATTGTATAAGACTGTTACCTAGAAATAAGATAATGTCAGAAATATTCCTCTAAACAGTAATATAATTATTTCTATAGGACCATTACGATTACACAATAGATTGTATAAGACTGTTACCTAGAAATAAGATAATGTCAGAAATATTCCTCTAAACAGTAATATAATTATTTCTATAGGACCATTACGATTACACAATAGATTGTATAAGACTGTTACCTAGAAATAAGATAATGTCAGAAATATTCCTTTTAAACAGTAATTTAATTCTGTCTATAGGGCGACTATGATTACACGTTGGACTGTATAAGATTGTTATTTATAAATAAGATAATATCAATTAAAAAATATTCCTCTAAACAGTAATATAATTTTGTCTATAGGGCCACTTCAATTACAAGATGGATTACTTAAGACTGTTACCTATAAATAAGATAATGTCAGAAATATTCCTCTAAACAGTCATATAATTCTGTCTATAGGACTACTATGATTACACGATAGATTGTTTAAGATTTTTACCTACAAATAAAATAACATCACAAATATTCCTCTAAAGACTAATATAATTCTGTCTATGGGGCCACTACCATTACACTATGGTTTGTATAAGACTGTTACCTATAAATAAGATAATATCAGAAATATCCCTGTGGTCTAAACGGTAATATAATTCTGTCTATGGGGCCACTACCATTACACGATGGATTGTATAAGATTGTTACCTATAAATAAAATGATATCACAACTGTTCCTCTAGTCTAAACAGTAATATAATTCTGTCTATAGGGCCACTATGATTAGAAGATGGATTGTATAGGGCTGTTGCCTATCAATAAAATAATATCAGAAATATCCCTCTAGTCTAAACAGTAATATAATTTTGTCTATAGGGCCACTACCATTACACTATGGTTTGCATTCAACTGTTTTACAATATTCAAATATAACTAAACCAAACTTTCAAGAGTTTTTCAGAGCTGAATCAGAAACTACTGTTGCGGGGAGGGACATTTTCCAACACACAGATGACTTCCTGACCGGTATACTGGAAAGAATACAGTCAACTGTCACTTGTAAGCCTTTCACAGCCTGCAATGGCAGATAACAGAGCAATAGTCTGCTGCACACAGTAATACAACTGCCGGGAGTTTCACTTTCTGTGCAGGCATCCAGTTACAGATTTAGAAATATTTGCAGCTCTTACATTTAAATTGATTTTGTTCTTTTAGGTTTACTGATCAGTTGGGAAAATAAATCAATGATTGCATGCAAGGGTGCAATTTATTGTGCGGTTCTAAAGGTATTTCAGACATGAAACTGGTCTCTAGTGCATAGAGAATATTTTTGTTTAAATAGAATATTCATTTTGCAAAGGTGTTTGCTTCAATCACCCAATCATGTTCCTGAAATGTGTCCTTGTAACGATTGGGTTTTCAAAAGTGAACATAACTTTTGTTTTTTGGGGGGGGTTGCATTGTGAATGTTCCCTTTCCAAAGTGAACAGTCCTTACTCTGCTCCTGTAGTACACATACATAACTGTCTATATTCTTATAATAAACACAGAAATATGTATTATTTATGGATGGCTTCTCTGTGTTTCCTCCACACTTATGGGATGCAACACAAAGACTTGCACAATTACCCAACGTGCTCAGTTACAAATCTCGAGGTGTGATTGTCCTCTATGAGGTCACGTTGGGGGTGAAGTATGGAAGGAAGGATTGCTGTAAGAAAATGTAACTCCCATAAAGCTCAATTCACAAACCTAACGCAGCAGCGTACGAATACTTATTTCCACAATTCTTCTCAGTTTAGTCCAATGAGATTCCAGAATAACAGTCACATGACTACAATAAAGATACTAAACCTATTGTTATTGCTTTGTGAAGCCGGATGTCATACCTGCAGTACAAGTCTAAAAATGAAAGGTGGCTTCTGGATGGTTGCTAGGGGCAACAGGAAATATTCTTCAGTGCAAGTCTAAAAATTGAAGTAAGACTCTGGATGATCGCTAGGGGCAACAACAAAATATTCTGCAGATTAAGGCGAAAAATTAAATAGGATCCTGGATGATTGCTAGGGGCAACACAAAATATTCTGCTGGTGAAGTCTATAGAATGAAAGGTGGACTCTGGATGGTTGCTAGCAGCAACAAAAACTATTCTGCAGCTCAAGTCTATAAAATTAAAGGTGGACTCTGGATGGTTGCTAGGAACAACAAGAAATTCTGCAACTCAAGTCTAAACAAAAATTATTCTGCGGTACTAGTCTAAAAATGAAATGTGGACTCCAGTTGGTTGCTAGGGGCAACAAGAAATTCTGCAACTCAAGTCTACAAACTTAAAGTAGGATCCTGGATGGTTGCTAGGGGCAGCAAGCAATATTCTGCAGGTCAAGACTATAAAATTGAAGGTGGCCTCTGGATGATTGCTAAGAGGTACTAGTTATAACAATTAAAGGTGGACGCTGGATGGTTGCTAGAGGCAACAAATAATTTTCTGCAGTACCAGTCTAATACTAAAGGTGGACTCTGGATGATTGCTAGGGGCAACAGGAAATATTCTACAGGTCAAGTCTACAAAATAAAGGGTGGACTCTGGACGATTGCTAGGGGCAACATGAAATATCCTGCAGTACTAGTCTAAAAATGAAATGTGGGCCCTGGATGTTTTCTAGAGGCAACAGGAAATATTTTGCTTGGCACATCCTTCATACATCTGCCCTCTGTGCCCATATACTGGCATTATGCAGGCATTTGTGTCCATGTAGGTACCCCTCTTGTCATGATGGTTCGGTTGCTATGGGTTACTACTGTCAGTGAGTGTTTCAGCAGGCTCTGACCCCTGGCCTGGCCGCGGCGGCTCAGCTCTCTTGTGAAAGGCTCTGCTTGCGTCAGTTGGAGCTGTGTAGAAAAACAGCCCTTAGAAAAATAGGAAGCAACTGGTTATTTTAGCCACTGCACTGTCTCATCCCACACAGAGGAAATGAACAATATCAGAAAAACGGATCCTGGCTATCAGAAGCCGAGTGTTTCCTGAATTTGTCTGTATTGAGGATGTCGATAAAATAATCAACAGTGTGCACGAATTCCGAGGAAGAGGCAGCCAGGAAAACACTTAACAGCTTCTGAGGCCAGATTTACTCCTATCAAGAGCTCAAGGTTTCCTGTATGAACGGAAAGGGGTCAGTCTGCACCTCTCTGACCAGTCCAGACTAATGAGCAGCACAGCCAAGGCACTGCTTGTTCAGCATCATCCCTGGGGAGCAGCCACAGGAACCAGAGACCTAGCTCAGCATCCCTGCAAACCTGTCCTATAAAGACAACAGATAACACTGTTTACTGACCTTCACTGAAACTACACCACAACACCACTCCCAGGGACAATGACTGCTTCTCACAGCTTGTCCCTGAAAATCCATGTACCCTAGTATCAGCAATAACCAGCAGAACCTAACATAAGGTGCATTCTAGGAGCATAAAGAGCACCTGTCATCTGGCATGTAGAGAGTCTGAGCATAGGTGAGAATAAGTGAGAATTAATTACTACAGGAGTACAGGCTGTTCACTTTACTGGTGATATAATTTGTTCCTGTGTTCACTTTACTGGTGTGTTCCTGTGTTCACTTTACTGGTGATATACTGTGTCCCTGTGTTCACTTTACTGGTGTGTTCCTGTGTTCACTTTACTGTTGATACAATGTGTCCCTGTGTTCACTTTACTGGTGATTTAATGTGTTTCTGTGTTCACTTTACTGGTGATGCAATGGAGGGAATTTATCAAAACTGGAGCATTTTTGCACTGCAGCCAATCAGCTTTTCTCTTTCATTTTCAAATCTTACCTGAGAAAACTGAAGAGAGATGCTGATTGGTTGCCCCGGGCAACTGCTCCAGATTTTGTCTGCTCCAGTTTTAATAAATTCCCTCCAATGTGTTCCTGTGTTCACTTTACTGGTGATATACTGTGTTCCTGTGTTCACTTTACTGGTGATAATGTGTTCCTGGGTTCACTTTACTGGTGATAATGTGTTCCTGTGTTCACTTAACTGGTGATATACTGTGTTCCTGTGTTCAATTTACTGGTGATATACTGTGTTCCTGTGTTCACTTTACTGGTGATATACTGTGTTCCTGTGTCCAATTTACTGGTGATATACTGTTTTCCTGTGTTCAATTTACTGGCGATATACTGTGTTCCTGTGTTCACTTTACTGGTAATATACTGTGTTCCTGTGTTCACTTTACTGGTGATATAAAGTGTTCCTGTGTTCACTTTTCTGTTGATTTAATGTGTCCCTGTGTTCACTTGAAATGTCTGATCACTGTGTCAGGGAATGCAAAAAAATGGATCTTTGCATGCACACCATTGAGTGTTCACAGTGGACACAGGTTCACTTAATTTACTAACATTTACTTTGCATGGTGAACATACAGTTCACAAAGCGAATAGCACGTACAACTTTAGTAAATCCCCCCCAACACCACCATCTTTTTTTCTTTTTTGTAAATACATATAAAAATATGCATATCTATTATATAAATGCATGTTTCTCTTGTGACATATATGTTGGACAGTAAGCTGTGTGAGTGTGCACAATATAAACAAATATTTATTTATTTAACATAAACTTGTGTCCAATCAAATGAACATTTACTGACCAACATTGTTCAAAATGCAAATAAATAAATGGATTTTGCCTTGCACAGGATTGGAGGGTTGAAGCTTCACTTCATTCACTAAGAATAGTGTAAAACATTCTTCAGGAGCCTTATATACTGTATAATACTCTAGTTTAATACTAGTCTATAAATAATACTTTATAATATTGTATATTCAAGTCTTTACTGCCAACTGAGGGCACTAAACGAAACCTACTGAAATAGGTTTTTCTCCCAATTCCCTTGCCTACGATGAACACGGTATTCCTTTAATCACATTTTCTACTCATTTAGCCAATCAACAAAAATAATTTCTTGCTATTTAAAAAAAAAAAGAGCTCAGTGAGTGACCTCATCTTTCTAAGGGTAATGAGTGGACATGTCACCGTGATATATCAAATAAACCCTATTGTGTGCGATTTGAAGGGACAGACCCGATCCATCCACACAAATCAGTAGACATGCCATGGACAGGGATGGCAGAGGAGGAGACACATGGTATCGGTGCCAGCCTTTCATCTCATCACGTGGTGCCCGCAGGGGGGCACTCAGGGTACATGACCTACTTTTAATGTATCAGATTTGGGTTGTTAGATTTTTTTTTTTTAAGTTTTGATTTGTTTTTCTTCTTCAAAGTGAAGATTTAAATCAGCTCGGTGACTATGAGATGAACCTGCCTGTGTTCCTGACTGATGGGAAGCTCTTGTGGTTTACTCTGAGCTAGATCTGAGTACAAATCAAAACAGCCACAGAGGCAGATTTCGATTCCTCCGAGCGATCTCTAGCAGTACAGTGCAAGTTACAAGAAACACAACAGACATGCAAGAGTGACGGGGGCACCCCATGGTATAGAGGCGTGCAGGGGCACCCCATTGTATAGACGGGTGCAGGGGACACCCCATGGTATAGAGGGGTGCATGGGGCACCCCATGGTTGGTATGCAAGGGTGCAGGGATCCCCTGCTATCTGAGCATGAACCCTACCCAAACACCGATCTTACACAGCCAAGTAACCCCGAACTTACCCAGAGTGTCGTGTCTGATGAGGGCATGGGTATACTCGCCCATGGGTCTCGGAAAGGGGTACAGGGGGCTCTGGAAGGTGCTGCTGCCATAGGAAGCCGCCAGGGCTGCAGGGTGGTGGGAGAAGGCTGGGTGGATGGGTGTGGGTTCGTAGATCGGAGTCCTGTAAGTGGCCACCAGGCTGGTGAAGGATGAGTTAGGAGATGGCAGGGTGGGTGTCATCATGGCCGATGTCCCATGAGAAGCTGCATTCCTCCCAAGGATGTCATCTATATAGAAGGGTGTGGGGTGCACCGGCTGCAGGGGGGTGGGCGCGTATAAGGGCACACTGAGACCCATGGCAGAAGAGCTGGAATGCTGGTACTGCATGGCTCCTCTCTGCTCCCCCTTCTCCTACTACTGTCCACAGCGAATCCTCCGTGTGATGAGTAATCCACCCAGGAAAGGTGCCCGCTCTGCTGCCCACAACGGGTATAAACTGCACCAGCGGCGACTGTCCGGATCACTGACATGTACCCAGCCCCATATCAAGCCTCCATGGCTTTCTATTGGCAGTGGGCGGACCCCTCGTGGTCTTGCGCTTCCTGCCCTGGCTATTTCTCGGCTTGATTGGCTCAGGTAGCTAACCACGCCCAGTCCTGTTGTGAGTGAGGGCCGCGGGGAGCCAATCAGAGGCGGCGGGCAATCTGTATGCTGATCTAGAGACAGGCTGGCTCACTGTACTGAGAGTATGTATCCTGCTGAATGTTATCATCATTATCATCGCTTGTGATTATGAAGATACTGGAGCTGTACATGTGTTGGTGTATCGTGGGTGCAAAGACCTTCATCAAAACTGCTGGCAATACACAAAAAACAGTAACACGGCACACAAAGTCAGGGAGTACCCATAAATAATGGTCATTATTATAGCAATGATGATCATAATAAATTGTATCATGATGTATTACTACTAATTCTACTACCAAAATTGTTATTATTATTATTATTACTACTACCACTATTATTATTATTACTACTACCACTACTATTATTATTACTACCACCACTATTATTATTATTATTACTACTACTATTATTATTATTATTATTATTACTACCACCACTATTATTATTATTGTTATTACTACTACTACCGCCACTACTACTACCACTATTATTATTACTGCTACCACCACCACTATTATTATTTTTATACTGCTACTACCACTATTATTATTATTTTTATTACTACTACCACCACTATTACTACTACCACCACTCTTATTATTACTACTGCTGCTACTAATACCACTATTATTATTACTATTACTACCACTATTATTATTTGTATTACTACTACTACTATCACTATTATTATTTTTATTACTACTACTACTATCACCACTGCTACTGTTACCACCACTATTATTATTATTATTATCTTCATCATAGTTGTTGTTGTTGTTGTTGTTGTGCTGTTATCATTGTTATTGTTGTTACATTATTTGTATCATCATCGCCACTAACATTATTTCCATGTTGTACATTTGACAAAACCCGACTCCCTAAAAATGAGCTCGTTTGGGAAGCACATGAGGCTCTGTTCTCAGTATATGTCATATGTGTACTCGCCCATCCTGTCTGAATTATGATATATCTTAGGTTATGTTTTGTACACATCTTCTACAATGATAACATTTTATTATAATGATTGTATTACTTACATGCAAGAAGACTAGTAAAGGGGTCTATTTATCAATATTGTTTCACTCAAGGTTCAAACTGATTTTTAATGAAGATTCGCACAGTGAGGCGGATTTACTAGAGTTGAGAATGTTAAGTAGGACTGAAAATGTTTACTAAAAAACAAAACAAAAAACGAATATTCACTTCAATAAATCAATCAGGTGCGGATGAATACACGAACAGAGATTTGCTTTTCACATGATCGGATTACTGCTGCGAATCTTTACTTCTAGAGTAAACATTCGGAAATCTTAAGTATTAAGTAAAATAGACCGACTTTT